CCGCAAAAGAAAAAAACCTCAAAATCCCCATGGGTTTTGCATGTCTGGTTTCTGCAGCTCCTCCTCCCCTGCAGCAGCTGCTCATAGTGTGTGTGTGCACACGCACACATGCACATGTGTCACGTCTATGTCATTCCCCCGTCCCCTCTCCCAGAGCAAGAATACTAGCATCAAATTCATTTTCCACCTGCAAACAGAAAGAAGTGTCTGCCTAGGTAGCATCTGTAGTTTGACTTGCTCTTCTCTGTCCCTGCTGGGGAAAAGGCCATGGTCTGGGCAGACAGCCTTCAGGGGCTCATATTGATCTTCGCTGAGAGGTAAAAAGATGCTTCCTCCACTTTCTGAGCCACATAAGGTCAGTCACCAAACAGAAAGGTCCTTCAGGACTTCAAGACAGCATCTCATCGTGAGGAGGAGGATGATTCAGCTGTGGTACCATTGCCTCCTTACACAGTTCATGACTTGAGACCTCTCAGCAGCTTTCATGTAGAGCCATGAGCACTTGAGGTTCTTTTAGAGGCAGCTACAAAGCACGTGGCCTGTGGCTCTCACACATTAACCAACAAGGATAATCCAACTAGTTTCAGCTCCTATGTCTCCGTTCTACCAGCCTGCTTTACCCATAGCTTTCCTCTTCAGCGAGGGACAGTCAAAACAGCAGCTCCAGAGCTCTGCGGAGAAACGCTCCGTTCCCACAGCTTCGTCTTTCCGAAGACCATGCATGTACGCATCTCGTCATTTCAGAGATGTGTACGTTTCAGGTCTCTGAGGTCTTGACTACCGTATCCGTTACATCAAATTTGAGACTATCAGCTTAGCGTCAGTAACACCAGCGTTAGTGGATTCTTGGTCTGTGTTTCCATCTACCCACCAAAAAAAAAAATCCCCTCAAAAAACCCCAATCTCACTGATCTTTTCTGCCCATTTAGAACTCTGCTATTTGGTGTCTCGAAGGCTGAAGGGCTAGTATGTAAGGAGAGACCACTCAGAAAAAAAGAAAAGGTGATCACGGGCAAAAAACTAAACAGGTTTCTTGCACTGGTGTTGCAGGAAAGCCTGGGAGATTTCCACGGCAGCAACTCTCCTCACAGGGAAATTCATCACAGGACTGTCTCTGATCAAACGGTGGTAGGAAGGGTTATAGAGCAGCAATATGAACTAAGCGGTGCCTGAAACCACACGGCTCCTACCCCAGAGGTCTGAAAACAACTGAAGGGTGAAAGACCTGACTGACTGTGGTGTAGAAACATTTGTTTAAAACTGCTTTTAAAGGCTCACTAGCAGACACAATTTGAGAAAAGGGTCTTGGGGGATTTCAGATCAGGGAGCTTGATGTCTGTGTTGAACAAATTAGTAGAAGCTATAATAAAGGAAAAAATCAATTGGCATGCAGTCACATCTAATTACTGGGGAAGAGTCATCATGGCTTTTATAAAGGGATGCTGTGCCTCACAGTCCTTTGAAGGAGTCAACAAGCACGTGAACAGTGGCCCGTGTGGATTTCCAAAAGGCGTTCAATTAAAGAAATTTAGAGAAAAGGTTCCTACCTGGACAAAAAGTGCCTAAAAGATAGGACAGAGACTGCGGGTAGATGGTTGGTTTTCTCAGTGGAGTTCTAAGACACCGATGCTGGGGCTTGGGCTGTTTGACTTATTCATGAGGGATGAATAATGAAATAACAAATCTGTCAGAGACATAAAATTATTCAAGTTAGAAAAGATGAGGGTTGGCTGCAAAGAACTGCAGAGATTAAGGGACATGTGAGTGACTGGCCTTAAAATAACAGCTGAAATTTCATCTAGCTACGTGATGAGAAAAACCAGTCTGAACTGACCATTACCCCTTGCAAATGAGCTCTACGCCTACTCAGCTCAGCGCATCCACGTCATCAACATTGCGTACGTTTTGAGCACCCCACCACAGGGCTCACGAAGGCTGTAGCAGAAGTGGGAAGGTTCTGAGAAGGGCAACAAGGACAGAACGGCTCCTCTGCGAGGAACAACTATGAAGACAATGACCCTTCAGCCTCAGAAAAAAAAAAAATTACTGAGGGTGAACATGGGAGATGTTTATAAAATCATCAGCGATAAGGTGAAGGTGACTAGGGATGTTTTTTCCCCACCGTCTCTTCCGGTACTAAAACTAGGAACTGAATCCAGCAAGTAGTGGTTCAAAAATGAGTGCAAGGAAGTGGTTCTTCATCGGAGATGTGATTAAGCTGTGGAACTCTTTGGCACTCCTGGCACTGGATGTTGTAGATGGTAAATTTTATATGGACTCAAAAAGCAACTGGAAAAAAATCATGAAAGAAAAAAATTCCCTGAGGGCTATTTCCCTGTTCCCTACAAATAGGTCACCTCCGGCTCAGGAAATCCCTGGGCTACAATATGCTGGAAGCAGGAAGAGAACTCGAGGGAGCATAACCACATGATTGCACTGTTCTTACGTTATCCCTTCACCATCCACGATTTGAGACGGAATACTAGTTGTAGATAGACCACTGATCTCGCACAGTATGGACCGTGCTTACATATTAGATTCTCTAGAGGTGTTTATTGAATACCTCTTGATAAAAATAGCTTGTCTGTGGAGACAAGTCACCTTCACCTGACACCTGGCTGGTCTGGGTACACATGTTAGAGCAGGTCATGGTCTCTCAGAGTCTCAGTCTCACTCACTTTGTCTTGGTCAAGACGAAGGTCTCACCAGTCTGTTCAGTCTGCAGTCATTGCAAGGTTTTGGCTCTAGCAAAAGTTGGCGTATCCTCCTTGAGATTTTTTTGAAGCATCTAATCATTTCACTTGAAGCCAACAGCATTCTTGCACATTTGCCTTGTCTTGCGGGAGTATCTTATACTTTAAACTTATGCAAGTCTTCACACAGCGTTTTCATCCACCACTGCCAAAGAAGGGTGAAAGCCACTCAGATGTAGCTTGACAAACCAGTAGAAGTTCCTCTAAGAAAACTGTCTCGGTGGTGGACCCGCCCAACAACACAAAAAGATGTGCAAAACAGATAACTGTCTATTCTCTCATATTAGACTTCCACTTTCATTGGCTAACATATTGTTGCCAGAATTAATCTTTTCCTACCTATGAGGTCAGCACACGCTTCTGCCTTGAACAGACCCTCCCTCTAGATCCGCGCATTGCCCCACAACGCCATCCAGAAGGTCTGACATGGTTATCATCACGCCTGTCAAGTTGCTGAGTAGCTTTCTCTTACAGTAATATCAACCTTAGGTAGAAATTTCCTCTAGACTGAAAATTCTACTTTCCTTTTGAGGTAAATCACGCTCTACGTGGGCTCTGTGAGGGAGTCCCTGTCTAACCCCTGCAAACAGCTATGGGGAAATCAGGCATACTTACCAAGGTCTTTGTGCAGCTTTGAGAGTGGATGTGTAGTTTTAGGATCATAGAATAATTAAGGCAGTCTCTAGCCCAACCTCCTACTCAAAGCGGGTCAGCTATCAGATCAGATAAGTTTGCTCTGGACTTTATAGAGTCTGGTCTTGAAAATGTCCAAGGATGGAGGCTCCACGACCTCTGGGGGAAACCCGTTGCAATGCCTGACTGTCCTCACAGGGAAAACATTTTTCCTTATGTCCGGTCTGAATATCTATTGCTTCAATTTATGCCCATTGCCTCTTGTCCCACTGCCACGCCTCACTGCGAACAGCTAACTCTGTCCTCTTCCAGTAAGCACCTTGCAGGTATGGGGAGGCTGCTATTATATCCCCTGGAACCTGCTCTTCTCCAGCTGAACAAGCCCAGTTGCCTCAGCAGCTCCTCATGGGGCAAGTGCTTCAGCCCCCAGACCTTTTTGGTGGCCTTCCACTGGACTCACTCTGGTTTGGCAGGACGGTGTTCCCATTAGTACCTAGAGTGGTTACCAGTCTCAAACCACTTCAGAGTCCCAGCTATGTTTGGCCAAAAGAATCCCATGGCTCTTCCTGCTTTACTCTGTGCTCCTTTACCTGCTCTGTGTTCGTGGGACATGGGCTGCTTCATGCTTTATGGTGGTGTAAGCAGGAAAATGATCTGAGGACATCCAATCCAAACAGGCACCACTGGTCCCATGCAAGAGAGAACACCAAAGGAACGGCATGAATGTCAGCAACGTAAGGAACTTCGATCAGCTGGGGCTCAGGTTTGTGTGGGTAGTTTCACCTAGGAAAAGGAGCTAGGGTGGAGTCAAGTCTAACCGTAGTATAGTTCTTTTTATCTGCAATGGGTGTACAAAGTCCTGTTTGTCTGATATAAAATAATACTATGCAGTTTTTATTTTAAGTTCCATCCAGTCAGCATTTTTCCCTCAAAATGCTTGCTCTCCTCTCTCTCTCTCTCTCTCTTTTTTTTCTGGAGCTGCCTTGACGAGACTGCCTGTGTGCTCTTGTGCTGTCCCTTTCTTGTATACATGCACTCTCAGCAGTGATCAAAGCAACGTGCATTTTCTGGGGCTGAGCGATAAATGATTCTGTACAACAATTACCCTCTCTGCGCTCTGGCTTCTTCCGCCATGTAATTACTCACTTTTCTACTGTCTATTTTTCTTAGTCTTTTGGTTTCTTTGTGAGTTCTTGCAGCAGAAGCCATCATGGTGGGATTTTGACCTTTCAAGAGATTTTCCCCTCTCACTTAAACTCTTCTGTCTTGGTCTTCCACTCCGACCAGGAATTGTGCTGATATTCAACAACTGGCGGTGACCCTCCATCACATCAGCATCCCCATAACCACTGGAAAGAACTGCGGAACGAGAGGCAGAAGCTGACTCTAGCTGACTACGTTGCTTTCCCTGCCAGATGACCACTGACCAGCAATCCAAAGCAGTACCTCAAGAGAGAGATGTGCCCATCTACCTCCCAGCTGCAGATGAGGGGAATGACCTGCCCATAGCTTCTTAGAGGGGAATGACTTCTTTCAGTGCTTTTCTTTGTGCCTCCTTAGCCCACCAGCAGGCTCGGCCATCTCAGCAAGACCCTGCCCTGATCTCTGCTGGGCATGTCAGCTTTCAATGCGTCTCATCAGACATGCAACTATTACAGCTTCAACCACCACCTCCTCCTGCCTGGCTACGTCCTGATATTCATTACAGGTTTGATGCTGAACGTGATGGCCCTATGGATATTCATCCGCTACCTGCGCCTGAAGTCTGTAGTGATGATCTACATGTTCAACCTGGCCGTGAGCGACCTCACCTTCACACTCCCTCTGCCGCTGCGACTCTACTATTATTCCAACCACCACTGGCCCTTTGGTAATACCCTGTGCCAAGTCTCTGGCTCCGTCTTCCAGATCAACATGTACGGTAGCTGCCTCTTCCTCACGTGCATCAACCTGGATCGCTACGTTGCCATTGTCCACCCACTTCGCTGGCGGCATCTGCGGCGCCCCAAGGTGGCCAAGCTCCTTTGCCTGATTGTCTGGGTTGTGATCTTCATGGGCTCCATCCCCACTGCCATAGTCCACAAGCAAAACCACTGTGAGGAACAGAACCAGACCATTTATCTGTGCTTTGAAAGCTTTAGTGACAACATGTGGCAGTATAACCTCTTCCCTCTAGTCATCCTGGCTGAAATCTTGGGGTTTCTCCTGCCTCTCAGCTCTGTGATGTACTGCTCAATTCGGATCTTTCAGGAGCTCTGCCAGGACAGCCAGATGAAGACCCTGCGACAGCAGAAGACCATCCGTCTCCTCGTGGCCAATCTGGTCATCTTCATCATCTGCTTTGTGCCTTACAACACTACCCTGGCAGTTTATGGGATGATAAAGGCCCAGGTGATGAAGGTTGAGGAAGAAACACGGGACTCTGTGCGCAAAGTGTTAATTACGACAATGCTGTTGGCCAGCATGAACTGCACGCTGGACCCCCTGATCTACTACTTTAGTACTGAGGGTTTCCATAACACCTTTAAGAAACTGCGGCGGGGACAAGCCTGGGACTCAGATACAGGGACGCTTAAGAATCAGGTTGTGGGGAATAAGTCAACCCGAGACCATACTGTCTCAAAAGTAAAACCGTTCCCAGCTGAAAACTTGATCCGTCCCCGTGAATCTTTGCCATCACTTCCTACTGCAGTATTTTTGAATGGCCCTATTGAGGACTCGGAAATATAATTACAGAAAGGTCATACCATTGCAGAGTCACCCGTTCAATAATTACAGCAAGACGGTGGGAAAGAGCTCAGGGTAACTTAGCAAACTGTTTGAGGGAGCAGAGCAGACTGTATGTGGGTGAACGTGATGATACAAAGCTGAAGAATGAAAGGTTGTTTTGAATAAACAGAGATGTCTCGGTGACATGGTCCCACCTGACTCATTTGGTCCAGGAAACATAGTGGGGAACAAGGACTTGAAACAAACCTCGCGTGTCTAGGTCTGGGCAGCACCGACTCCCGTAGCAAGTCCATCCTGCCTGAGCACCTCCTGGCTGCGCTGTAGGGTGAAGCAGTTCTGGGGTTAATCAGAGCACAGATGTGGTACTTGCTGCTGCCAGAGTGAATTTGCTGGGAAAGACTGAGGGAAACTTTGGGGTTGTTTCTTTAACTAGATGCTTCCATTTGAGTCTTAAATCCAGCTTGGGACACCATAATAAGTGTCTTAATGTTCCAAAAGAGTTGAAGCATTTAGCAATCCTTGTTGGGGTCAAGGAGAACAGCTGGGTGTTCAGTACTCTGGCAGAAAATAGGTTCCTAATTGTACAGTCAGTCGCAGACCCTAGCAAAACAATCTTTAGGAGGTATGTGCTTGTGCAGCTGTACACACACACGCGCAGCACAATGGCTATACATCTACCTAAAGCAAAACGGCTTGGGAAACACTAGCAGACTTAAAAATACACCCGGCATTCATAATGGGCCCAGAAAAAAAAGAGGATACCAACACTGCTGTCATTTCTGAAGCTCACGCTGACATTAGCGCTTTGCACTTTCTTGTCGCTCGGCCATAGGGTGATTGATTTCAGGTCTGAGTGATTTTCACTGTTAAAAAGAAATGATGTCACAGAATGAGGCTGCGGCGAGATATATTTGCTTGCGCTGTTTGTACACACTTTTTCAGCCTGCGCTATATGCAAAAACCCTATAAATCTCCCCAAAAGCGAGAGACCCAGCCGTACACAGACAGTGCCAGAAACCCCAGTTATTCACTCCTGCTAGGGACCAAGTGTTGCCTTTCCACTTGCACTGCAAAGCAGTCTCTCTGTGGCTTCCAGCGGGACTCGGGCTCACCCAGAGAGGGTCCGTTACAGTATATTTTAATTTTTTTGGAAAATGTTAAAGGAACGGTAAGGAAAAGTGACAAGAAACGCTGTTCAAAGTCCTGGTTCTTAGACTTCTAAATTAGCAATTAATCTTTTTTCAAGTCCCTACCTCATGACTGCTGCGGGAATAAATTTATTAGTGTATTGCAATGCATCATGGGTTTTGTTACAGCACAGTTTAGGAGACACAGGGTTTTAAATCCATCTTTCCAGTCTCCCTTGAAGACCACCTCTTTTACTACAGCTGACTGTAGAAGCAGGTCTTCAAGAAGACCTGTAGAAGATGATGAGCCTCTCCACAGAGAGATCCTTGTGTCACAGGCTGCCGTGGGAGACGTACGCCCTAGGCAGGCCAGCTCTGTCCCCTTCCTCAGCCCGTGCATCACCACCAGACCAGCCTTGAGATATGACTGCAGATGAAGGACATTTAACGGTGCCTGCGAGATGCGGCGAGAGAGGTGGAGGAGGGCTTGCAGGGCAGTAGGTATTCCTATTTTGAAAATTCAGGACTGCCATGTGAACGTGAATCATTTGTGGCAGTGCAGCTGGAGAGGAATCAGAGCGGTGTGCGTGCCTTCTGCTGGGGTCCGATGTTACCCTTGTGTTCTGGGATTTACGAGGTAGTGGATCGCTATTGCGGCAACTGCACTGCTGTCCATTTCCACATCTTCCTCCGCCTTCCTCCTTCCTTTCTCCCTTCCCCAGATCTAATACGCCATGCACCCGAGCATCAACGCAATGTCTTCACTGCCATGTTTTCTTCCCTGCCCAGAGAAGTTGATTTTTTCTTTCCTTTTAGCTTGGCTAGAGCACTGTCATAGATTCACAGAAAGATTTGGGTGGGAAGGGACCTGCGGAGGTCTCTATCCCAACTCCCCGCTTGCAGCAGGCTGTTGGGGGCAGCAAGGACTGGTTGCTCCCCAAAGGAAAGGCAGCCAAGAGCCAGGTGTGGTAACAAGGGAGGCAGAGGAAGGGCCTTCCCCAGCAAGGGCCCCATCCCACAGCACCTGAGCAAGACAGGCAAGGCAGGTACGGTGATGATAACTGGGTTCAGCTGAGAATTCAGATCGTCAGACAAGCCTGTGGTGACGAGGCAGGTCCAAGGTCAAAGTAAGAAGTCAAGTCAGCACCAGGATCAGGTCTGGAGGCAGTAACCAGGGTGAGCCACAGCCCAGCGATTGCCAGACAACTCCATCGTGACGAGGTAGGTTTCAGGTCAAGCCAGGAAGCCTATCAATAGGTCTAGATCAACACAGTGCATGGTCAAGAACAGGCAAGACTGCTCAGGCAGGACCCAAGGGCAAGAGCACCAGCTTAAAAGCAGCTCCTGGGGCAGGGAGTCAGCCCTGGCTGGGGCTTCAGCAGAGCTTTCTGGAAACTCTCCCCAAAGTCACCGGAGGGAAGGGGCAGCCCTCAGCCACACTGTCTCTGACCTGGCCCCAAGCTCACACAGCCAACACCCCAGGAGCAGGGAGGATGCACTCGGGACCCTGAGCCAGTTCAGGTTGCTCAGGGCCTGGGCCAGGTGCCTTCTGAGCACCTCCAAGGACGGAGATTCCTCAGCTTCTCGGGGCACCCACGCCAGTGCTGAAACATGCCCTGGGGAGAGGCTTTTCCTAACGCTC